ACGCGCGCTCTCTCCCTCTCTTCACGCGCTCGCTCGCTGTCTCTGTTCACGCGCTCGCTCGCTGTCTCTGTTCACGCGCTCGCTCGCTCTCTCTGTTCACGCGCTCGCTCTCTCTTCACGGGCTCTTTTCTTTCTCGCTCTCGCCCACGTTTGTGCCTCTCTGCCTTCACGTTTTCACCTCCCAGCCCTCTCCCTCCCTGCCCCCATGTCACTACCTCTCCTTCTCTCCCTCCCTGTTTTTCGGTCTCTCCCTCCCTCTCCACTTTATAAAAACAATCAAGCAATGGTTCTTGTGTGAGTTCTGGTCTCATATTCCGGTCACAGGCCGAACATATGCATATTATGGGGCTAGTTGATAACTCTGACTTGTCATTGATACTTCACTGCACCAGATGATTTTCCAGTATAATAAGATGATGGGGTCTTTCATCTCTTTAGAAGAAACTGAAATGTTAAGGGCATCCGTGATATTGTTTCCGTGGACTTGGTTATTGTTACTTGATTCTGGCGAATCCTCCATCCTCCGATATATTTGAGAGTGGAGCTGAGTCACAGGTCATATCATGAGAATGCTTTTCACAATGTTACAAATTTTCATTTTATTTACTAAGAATTTGATGTACTGTATTTTTATAATTTTCCTGAAAGAGGCCTCTTCAAAGGAGTAAATTAATAAAATTGTTAGGAAAGGGCCGGTCAGTGGTCGGATGAGGAGTGATCTGTTAATGGGGGTACATTTTGCATACATTGTAGGGGTTTCAGGGTCTATTCCCAGAAAAATTCTGTTTTTAGATGGATGGTCTTTCAGCGAGTTTTCACTGTGTATTTAATCAAATGTAAATCTATCTGCTTATAGCAATTCAGAAATTTGGAACAGCAGATAACTAGAACATTTTGAACTGTAAATTACTAGACTAGAACATCATCTACCTTTTAATGACTTCATCTCCACCAAAGAGGGATGAAGTTATTAAAAATTGTTAAAGACATAAAAATTTCTTTAGAAATAGTGTCTGGAAATGTGGGTGTGATTGGTATGCAGAAATTGTATAAAGTATTAAATCCAAATTTGGATTTGATATTTGAAAAAAAAAAATATTAAATTACAATTACAGTAATGATAATGATAATGATGATGGTGGTAAAAGTAAAAAATTAGAAAATGTAGGATTTGCCCTCATATTGACACAGATTTCATGTTTGAAGTATGCTTTAAATATAACTTGTGTTGTAAAAAGGTTGTTTTCTGTATTCGAATTTTTTCTCTAACAAAAAATGAATTTAACAAAGGACACTTGAGAAACAAGATTAAATTGTTTACTGTTTCAAAAGAAAACATAGACACTCACCAAAAACTTGATTGTGCTAATTTTGTCCATTTTTACCTTTCATCATATAGCATATTTGGCTATTTTATCGTGCTTTTTTGCTGTCATATTTTAATGTCTGCTAGTGCATCAAAATTCTGTGTCTGGACATATAGTGTAGATGTGATAGTGGTGTTTTATGATAAAGAGGTTATTGTATCTTTGCTTAATTTATTGCCTTCGTTTGTTTGTAGATCATCATGGAAACTCAGCAGGCTAAGCAGACGTTGGCAGACATCGAAGCTAGGCATGCAGATATCATAAAGTTGGAAACTTCAATTCGAGAGCTTCACGATATGTTTATGGATATGGCAATGTTAGTTGAGAGCCAGGTACGTATTAAGAGGATTTCTTGTAAAGGTTTGGAACAATTACATACGGAACTTTGAAAATATTCATTTCACTATAATTTTCAAAATATATTTGTCAGAATGTATTCATTATTACATTAAGAAATACATTAAAAGCATAAAATAATATTTTCTTGCAATTTATTACTTATGATCTTTTTCTTGGTTGGCGGAACAGTAAAAAAAAATTAATCGTAATTTTGAACTCTGCTATAAATAGAAAACAAAAGTGGGATGAAATTGTGAAAGACAATTAAATGGAATAGTGTTACTTGGGTATAAACAAAGATAACAAGAGTTTAACTTTCATTCATTGGTCTACCAACTGTACAGTTTGTTGTTATTTTTTATTTGAAAAATGGAGGAATTTAATAATATTGGATTTGTCTTTTGCTGATAAGTCATCATTTAAGAATTAGGATATCGCTTTTCCTGGGTTTAAACCTGAATGACTAGTAGTTAATTTAGTCTTAATAGATAAATGTACTTGTTTCTAAGCCTTGCTCCTTAAAGAAAATTTGTGTGTATGTATTGTACTTTTGCAGCATCCTATGTGAATTTGATTTTCTGCAAAAACGTGGGATGGTGAGGTGTTAAATTTTGCTTGTAAATTAATAATGCCAACTGTTGGTGTTAGAGCTTGCTGGTATGTTTTATTCAGTTATCTGAAAAATTAAATTCAGTCGCACCTCTGTCTATCGAATCTGGCAGTTCCATGGATAATATTCAATATATGGAAACTTCAGTACATAGAAAATTTCTGAGATCCTCCTACAATTTCAAGGTTTTTGAACATTTTTTCATTATAGTCAAAATAATACTAATTGGTATAGCATACTTCTGTGGCACTAGTGCTTTGTTATGCTGCAGCGTTAAAGGATTTTAATTTTTAGATATTCCAAACTTTTCTTAAGCGCATAACAGCAAACTGAAACTGCGCTGAATTCGCAAAATAACTTTGTAGGGAGAACCATTAGAGGACGCGAAGGGGCATGTGATTGACCTTTAGATCACTTAGAGAAGTTTGAACAAGAACTTTCTTTCAAAATTTGTTTGAAAATTCATGTACGTTGAATTTTTCAACAGTTAAGCTGCAAGGAATTCCTCAGGTATCAAATGTAATATGCCAGAGACTTTGACAAAAGTTTCTAATAATGATTGTAGGTGTTATATGAACTGCTGGTTCAGGCTGGTGTATTTGTAAATGTGCACATTTCATTATTATTATGTTTTGCAGAGATTAATTGTATAGTGCATGATTACTTGGGGACAAATGTGTGAAAAGCAAGGGCTATGTGTTGACCCTAGATTCTTAAGTGCACTAATTTATTTTTCTTCTACAGAATTGAAACTAGATATTTGATGAAATAAATAAGTTAAATAAGTACCCTGTTTGTGATATGGTTGAAGCCATGAGGCTTAATCGTTTAAAAAAGTTGATTTTTATTTTCTCATCATTCTTTGTTCTTACATGGTAAAGAGAAACAGTGCTCTAGCTGGAAGTGGCAATTTTGTTTGAGAAAAACTCGTTTTGTGAAGCCTGATATTGAAAATATAGATAAATCATTTTCTTATATGTAATAAATTTCATCCTCTAACATGTTACGTAGTGAGAATCCATACTTTTTGTCTGGCCATAATACCAAAAAATTGGATGACAACCTCTGTCAGTCTATACATCTGTCCATCCTTCGTCATTGCTAGTGCATATGCAACATAGTAGTTCAAACAAAAGTTGTTCTCCTAAAGTAAGATTACCCAATCATTGTGCCCAAACCTAAAGCCCTGTGAGTTCGGATATTTGGGGGCTACTTTGCATCAGGTTTCAACTTTTTTTCATTTCACTTTTTTCACGTACAGTGTAAAAATAAGGATGTATCATTTTCTTTTGGTTTGATTGAATTTTATATTAGATAAATGCTATTACCTCTCTCGCTCCCAATCACACTCTCTCATTCGCGCTCTCTCATTCGCGCTCTCTCATTCGCGCTCTCTCATTCGCGCTCTCTCATTCGCGCTCTCTCACTCGCGCGCTCTCACTCGCGCGCTCTCACTCGCGCGCGTTCCTTCTCTGTCCCGTATACGGATACGAGAGTATGTACGCCCGACTGAAAATTTTACAAGTGTCGCTACCGCACGGTGGCTCAGGGCCCGACTTCTCGGGCCCCGCCCCGCCAGTCCGCGCTTCTCACAGGAGTTGTCCCAGCTTCAACTCCGTGTCGGGCGTACATCCTCTCGTATCCGTTTACGGGTACGTCTCAGAAAAGCCTCGGCCGAGCGACAGGTCGCCCCGCGGGAGCGTTCCGCAACGTCCCGAACAGGTCTCAGTTTTTCTCTCGGGCGCTCCGTGTTGGTCGCCCTGCAATTCACCCGCCGCTCCGCGGCAACTTTTCCTTCCAACTCCCGTGTGGTCCTCGTGTCCCGTCCGCCAAACAATTTTTGCTGCCTTTTGCCCTAAATTTTTCGGACTTTTTATAATATTCTTACTTTGCGAGGAAGTGGTCAGTTTCCTCAGCGAACGGCTGAGAGTCGCCGGCATTCGTTTTCAAAGTCTGTCAACTCTCTGTCTCTGTCTCTCTCTCATGAATATGTATACACTTACTTAGTGTGCCATCTTCAATGCTTTGATGAGGTACAGTAATTAATTTGAGTTTTAGAAAAAAATAGAAGGATTGAGTATTAGAAGGATTAAACATTGGGATGACCTCTCTCACAGCAGGGGAATTTGCCTTGAATGAAACCATGTTTCCCCCAAATGGTAGACCAGAATGAGTCTAGATAATAATTTATTTCCACTGTTTACATCATCATTATCATCTCAAAGAAAATTGCCAGTTCCTCACCAGCAGACAAAGCTAAGTGAAATGACATCTGTTTTCAAACAAAGAACCAGAAGCGCAGGCAAACACATTCAGGTTACCTGATTACTTTTTAAGGTTAAAATACCTTTTCCTTAAAAAGTTTGATGGCTGTTTTTAAGGCCCTTAAATATTTTTTTGAACTTAAGGATCTATTGTCAAGTAATGAATTATAAAACATAACACAATTGTGATTTACTGAATGGGAATTTTCAGGGAGAATATGTGTTGTTTTTGAATATTCATTTAAAGCATGATATCTAAAGGAATTGCTGTTCTGGGAAAAGGAAGTTGCAGAAAATGTAAGGAAAAAATTGTATGAAGGTTGTGGTATTGTTAAGGGTGTAAATGTAAAGGTCGTTATTGTTGTTTGTGGCATGAATCTGGGAAGTGTGCAGGCTTGTACTAAGCAGTTCATAAGACTCCACCTCGGTGATCATTAGTCCAGTGATAGAATTTTGATTGCACTTGAGTGCCAGACCCAAGTAATTATGCTCATATTTTGTTTTAACCTGTTATGTCTGCTCTGATGCTGCCCCATACAGGGTGAGATGATAGATCGTATCGAGTATCACGTAGAACATGCGGTAGACTATGTGCAAACCGCAACTCAAGATACCAAGAAAGCTCTCAAGTATCAGAGCAAAGCTAGGCGGGTAAGTTTGGTGCAATGGTGTACCCATTATGTGTATCTAATCTTTTTTTCTCTTTTGTTTTTTCCCCCCTTCCGTTTTATTTTGAACCCTAACATTCTGATACCCGAATCCTTTAACCTGGACAATGGATTTTCTCTGTGGCACACTGTTTGATTCTTTGTTCTATTACATGTTTTCCTTCACATGTATAAACTGTTAAATACCTTTGCACTATTTGTACTGTATTTTACTGTTTGCAAATGGTTGTGCTATTGTGTAAAAATAATGGCTTCTTTCCTAACATGTTTGTGCTCATACCAATGCTTACTTAATACATCTCGTACTTGGATAAATATGTCGCCTTCTCTGTGGGTGATATGCCTGTGGTGGTTGTGCCTCTGTCATTTTCTGTGCTGGTGTGTATTGCTCTCATTGTTGGTTATTAATCTATGGCTCCTTTCATTGTATAACTGTGTAATTGTTGCTAACGCTGATTCTGACTACTACTTTCTTGGAATGTGTGTGGGCCTTGTACTGTGCTTCATCTAATCCTGCACTTGGCCGTACTAACGCGGATTGGATCCAAATCCATGTCCCACCTCTTCCCTTCCTTCTCTCCTGCACTCGGGCCCTAGGGCGAGCTTGTGGACAATGTAGAGTATCATGTGTCGCAAGCTAAGGAGATGGTTGATGAGGCCAAGGAACAAGTCGGAAAAGCCATTCAGTACCAAACCAGTGCTCGGAAGGTAATGTATCTGTCTTTTCTTTACTTTTCCACTTTCATTCTTGTAACATTCACAACCATTTTTCTTGTTCTCTTCTTCCCATTCTTCACAAAAGTAAAGTAAGATTACTTCAGAATCTTTTTATAAGTGGGATTAATTTATTATTATTATTATTATTATTATTATTATTATTATTATTATTATTATTATTATTATTATTATTATAAATAATAATAATAATAATAATAATAATAATAATAATAATAATAATAATAATAATAATAATAATAATAATAATGAATAATAATGGAGTTTTCAATCTTCAAAATCAAAGGTAATTGCAGGCCCTGCAGGGCTTTCAGAAGAATCTATTCCAATCAAGTTGAGATGTCAGATAATATTTATTTGATAAAACTTACTATTCGTAGATGGTGCAGATTCTATTTGTAGATGGTGCCTCCTCAAATTAGTTTTCACTTCAGCAAAAAAAGTTGTATTAAATTTGAATCTTTTGCCAATAATAGTTTTCAATTAAATTTCTTGCTTTTAGGTTTCTATTATTGTATAGCTTCTGCAACACACTTTATATCTTGTTTTAAATGAATGAATTTTACCTTCACCAAGTATCTATAGACAAATTATTTACTTCTGATCACTACATCCATTATGTTTAACTGCTACCACAATTTGGTTTATTGTAAAATTGGCTGGTCATTGATATCAATATATAATATATTTACACAAAAAAGTTTTTGTATTTTTAATTAAAATTAAAAAACAACAAAAGATACAACAACATCGGACTGTGTGGGGAATTTGAAATAACGGTTTAAGTGAAATGAAACATAGCTGTGTTAATGAGAATATCCTTCTAATGAATTTGTGAAGAAACTGTGTTTCAACCATATTATTTTCCTTTGTGCTTAATTCATTTCTCTTCACTCTTGTTCTTACCATTCTGGTGATTTATATTCTTCATACAGTATTAAATTTCTTCTTCAGCGTGCTGAAGTACCATCTTCACCTTTACCTGTAGATAGTAAGTAAAATGTGAGAACTAAATGTCTGAACAATTTGGCCTGCCAGCATGTTATAGTAGCACATGATATGCCTTTTCAATGCCCAATGATAAAATCAAAAATTATTTTAAAAAGAAAGGAAGTATAATGTAGTGGTGATGAAATGTGAAACTACTATTAGTGAAGGCTAAATCTCAATTCCTGAAATGCAATAGTAAATTGCATGTGCATCAGTTTGTTTTTGTGATTGTAAATATCTCTCTGAATGGAGGCATTACAATTACAATTAGATAAGTTTTATACTCTCTTCTGAATATGACCCTTTTTTGAGAAGTAAGTGCATACAGTTATTTAATTTTTTGTAATTAATGTTTATTATAAATATTAATTTTTTAATTATTATCACATTATTAATATTATTATTATTATTATTATATTACTGTTAATTTATTATTATTGGGGGTAATTTTATTACATTTCCATATTGATATTATTACCTGATGTTAGTTGAAAGTTCAACGATTATGTGTGAATAGTTGTTGTCAACTGTAGTTGACAATTCCATATCTACTAAGCATGATGTAATAGTTATAAATTAAGTTTTGACTGTTCAGGGAATTGAATTTCCCAACCTAGAATTGAACCCAGTTCTACTGGCTCTATCCTTTGTTGCTCTATCCATTGAAGGTATCAAGACCAATTCTTCAAACAGTCTTACAAATTTAAGAACACCTGTAAGTAAATTTACCGGTCAATTCTTTGAACAGTCAAATCCTAACTTATATCAATTAAGTCACGATTAGTAGCAATAGGTTTGTAATGATTGTTGACAATTGCAAAACAATGAAACCTATTCCCATATAATTGTTTAACTTCAAATGTGACCAGGTGGTGAAATGTATTGTACATCTGTCAGGGGTTCTTATCGCCTTCAGACTGTTTAAAGATTTGCTTGAATTGGTAGTTCAAATTGTTTAACCAGCAGGAGCAGTCAAAATATTATTAGCATAAGCATTGGAATAATCATTTTTACATGTTTGTGGAGTAAGATTCAGTTCAGAGTTTTTAATCTAAAGTCAAAATAAAATATTGTTCAATGTCAATGTCATTGCTGTTTCGAAAGATCCAAAATTATGACATTAAGTTTATATAAGAAATTAAGTATTTATATTTCCTGAGTGAGTACCATATTTACCCGAGTATAAGAAAAGGTTTTTTCCAAAACTCAGTCGAAAAACGTGGGGTCATCTTATATTCACAGATTAAGCCTAGTTGGCTAGAGTTTGTTTTTACATTGCCATTCCATTTCACGAAAATCATAAATGTTAGCACAACAATAAACTGTGAAAAGGGTAAAATTATCGTGTGTATCTACAATACTCGCTGTCGTATTCTCGGCACCCACCGTGAGTTCGCTGGCCAATTGTCATAGATGTTTTGGAATGGATCGGTAAAGAGAAAATCTCAAACTTATGGCATTGTGTCAAATGAAGCACAACATGAAAATGAATGCCGAGAGTTTATTACACGATACTGATTCGACGAGGTCATGCCGAATTTCGGTTTGACGCTTGGCGAGAGCAAATCTTCGATTTGAACTGTTATAGAAAGAGGCTTTGAAAAGTGCGGGACAGATAGAAAATCTGCTGACTCAGGCGGAATTATTCTTAGGTAACGTCTGAAGAAAGACTGAAAACAACGCAAATTCAATGCGCAAAACTTTCAAAGGGGCCTAAAATCTCAATGTTGCAGCATGGAAGGAGAACCAATTTAAGAAAACTAGAAATGCTAGGAATTCGAGGCATTGCATGCCAATGGATGAAATGATATTTATCAAACTAGCCAAATAGTTTCCTTTCACCACACTAAAGAAAACAAAATCTCCTATACTTCTCCTGCCCTCAAATGATAAATTGTAGAGTCCCGCAAGGATCCATCCTTGGGCCAATACTTTTCCTTATATTCATAAATGACATGCCTTTGGCTTTAAGGAATAACAAAATTATTTTGTTTGCAGATGACATAAATTAAACATAATCTTCAAAGCAAAACACAACAATCATTAGAAGAAGAAACTCTCAAAATTTCGCAAGCACTAGTTAAATGGTTTCAAGATGACAAACTCATCATAAACACCAGCAAGACACTCTCTCTGAATTTCATGAATCCCCAATCTAAAGGAAAAACTATCACAGCATTTGCTCATAAACAATAACCCTGTAATGATATCTCATGAAACTGCCTTCCTCGGTCTAACAACTCAATAAAACCAAAAATGGAATGCTCACATTTTAAATCTTAACAAGAAGCTCACCAAATCTTGCTATGCCCTATACACCCTCGGGTCAAGCTCCAATATTGAAACACTTCGAACAATGTACTTTGCAAATGTGCACACACACCTAAAATATGGAATAATGTTATGGGAAAATGCCCCTGAAAGCTCTTACACTTAAAAAGAATACTGCGAACAATGATCAGCACTCATAAGCAGGAGTCTTGCAAACCCTTGTTCAATAAACTGAGGATTCTTCCTCTACCATGCATGTATATATTTGAAATAGTGGTCTTCACAAAGAAAATTCTCGTGAAAAACAAAGACTTTTACACCAAATTCCAATGTACACAACTACAACACTCATCAAAAGGATAACCTACCTATATGTTCCCCACTCTGAAACTACACTTTATCAAAAAAGTACCATAATAGAGAGCATTGCACTAGGCAATGATATTAAAGACATAAACACATTTCATACATTTAAAAGTAAATTGAAAGCTTTCCTGCTTAAAATGTTCTACAGTGTGAAGAAATATTCAAATCACAATAATATTTCCCTTAAAAAGAATATAAATAAATAAAAATTTCTTATCCCTCTTGACTTTGTTTCATGTTGATTGTTTCGAGCTGAAGCAAAGAAAAAAGAACTGGCATATCACGTCGTGTGGTGTAGAAGGAGAATGCCTGACAAAAATTTCTGTTTCTCTCTGGATCTGCTCTGGATTTGTTCCCGTTCCTCTCAGGTTTTTGTTCAGCTTCCTTGGCCCCTTGAGCAAATGCTGAGATGGCTCCTTGTTCCCTCCTGAACAGTGATGTAACTTCGGTCTCTCCACTCAAGACGACATATTGATTCGTCATACATGATTGTAATTGTATATGGGACTCAATAATTATATTATTATCATCAACATTATTAATGAAATAAAGAAACATTGATACATGTGAATATAATGAGGGTAGTGACATAAACCATGATTATGATTTTATGGAAGAAACTGGTAGTTAGCAATAAGATTAACATTCTCATTAATAATGCAATTTTATAGTCAGTAAGACAATTTGCAATTTTATTTTGACTGAATAGTAAGAATTAGTTAAAACGTTAAAAAGTTCTCAAGATGCCTCTTTAACATTAGGGGGCATCATATATTGGAGTAAAAATGGTATATTATTTTCTCTATATTTGAATAACTCCTTTCACTTATGTTGTGCTTCTACATTTTATGTTAATAAAATGATTGACAATTGTTTTTGAACACGTCATGTCATAAAGATAAAGTTTAAATTTGTAACATGAAAAATTTGAATTATGCCATAAAATATCATAAAAAACTATTTTTAATTGTTTGGTGACTAGATAAAACAATTATTGTTGTTAGGTTGGGGGAATTATTATTGCTGATTTTAACACAAAAAAAATCTACAAGTTCATAACTCTAAATCTAAATTATCCTTAGTTTTGAACTTAGCTTTTGATAAGTTTAGAATATCATACAATTTATTTGAAAACAGTAATATTGAAGAATTATATACTCTCTTTCAAGAGCAGCTAGTATTCAGTCTTGTTATAATTTATATTCTGAAAAGGCATATCACTAGTTTATTGTTCAGATTGTGCAGATTACTAAATTTTTTAAGACATACTATTTTGATGTGTTTAATAAGTAGTCATTTGTGCACTCTAAATATTTTTTACAGCTGTTGTTGCTAGATGTTAATGTTAATTTTTTTAATAGAGACTTTTTGTTTGCTGAATAAATGTTGCAAGTATCTATATATGAAATGCTGTAGAATATGTTCATTGCTGCATGCTAATTTACATGTTTAGGTAAAGCGTGAATATCCGTATTACGTGCATCTTGTTGATTGCCAATAATATGTAAAGAATTGCAATGTATTATCTAGTCGCTGTATAGAATTGAGCAGCAACTGGCATGTGTCAGGTTTCTTGTTAATGTTTTTCAAAATTGCTATATATAGCAAAATAGATTCAAAATATACATTTCAGAACAATTCCCATAATTTTTAAAACTCTTGTTGGTATAAACTGAGCATTCTCATAAGAAATTGTGCATTCTCAGCTTTCATAATATAAATTTTGTAATGGAAGTTTAAAATAATGAAAACAAGAAATCAGGATTTTGTTTCATGAATTTGCTTCTTGTCTGATATCAGCTTTAAAGTGAAGCTTTCGCTTTAACATTAGGCAGCAAATTGTTTATTGGTTTGTTGTTTATTTATTATGTTATGCTTAAATTGATTAGCTTTGTGTCCTAGTTAATGGTTTTGAGTAAACTCATGCTTTTTCACGAGTTTTCCACAAATGTCAACTTCTGTAATTGGGTTAAGCTGATAAGATATGAAATTCTGTATATCACATCAAAGTAGTCCTTGTTTTACACTAGTTGGTTGGATAATTTCTTTATTTAGCTGCAAAATCTCTGAAGTATCAATTTATGTTTGGAAGAGAATTTCACCTTTTAAAATGTAAAACATAGGAAACCGGTTTATTTTAAACTTTTTGAATTAATTTGTTTAATGCTGTGATCAATTTTCTGCCTGATGTAACTTTTATCAAAATTATGCCTTGTGAAATAAAATGCTGGTCACCACAATAATTACCTTTACTTTTCCTTCTGTTTTGTTCACAGAAAAAGATCCTGATATTGATCTGCCTGAGTGTAGTCATCCTCATTTTAATTATTGTTTTGTGTGTCGTCTTGTGATGTGGGAGCGGTTGTCATTGTGGGAGATTCAGTTGCCTAAGACTTGATTTGAATGCCTATCCCAGGTATCTCTCTGATCTGAGAGAGCAACCTGCAGAGTTGTGGAGGCACATTTTCTTGCAGCATAGTGCATTGTTATAATTGGTTTGTGCAGGTGTCATTTGCATTGGGAAGTCTTTCAAGAACAGTTTTTTGAGCTGGCTGCCGTGCCTGTTAAAATTTATTGGCCATTTGAAGACAAGACTAGTTGTTTGCATAGCTATGCACCTGTCTACCTGGCCAGTCATCCTTGCCAGTTGCTGAAATATATAATGTAATGCAGCAATCTGCAGCTTCAGCTCATTTGCTGCAAATAATTTAACTTAGTGTCATGTAGTTATACAAGATCATCTGTCTCTCTCTCTCTTTCTCTCTCTCTGTCTGTCTTTGGATGAGAGAATATTATTTGTTTTAATAAAAAATTACACTAACAGCTATCAGGCTAGTCTTGTAATAGAACTATTGCCAGTTGTATTCATATTATCAAAATGCATTGTATTTACTCAAAATAAATGTTCTAGTTTTTCTACGAAACTGCAGATTTTAAGTACCAAAAACACCAAGTCTCAAATATGAGCTAGTCCTCAGTAGATGTTTAGAGCTAGTTTGTTTGGAAGTGCCCCTGACTTTTTTTCAGATGTATTATTAGGCAGTATTTCCACAATTTATATGATTAAAGAGTTAGAATGAAGTTCACCTCCCAATTCAGGTGAAGCATTGCATGGCAGCCGGCTTCGTACCAGAAACTAGAGATTTTGTGCAAGCTCATACCAGTATTATGCACATCTCAATAAAATGTTTTCCTGTGCAGTTTTATTAATGCCATTGTTCTATGCATGGGAACATTTCTCCATTGACACAATTCCTTCTCCAATTATAGTATAAAAGATAATGCACAAATCTCAAAATTTGTATTTTTGACCCGTTTTTATTGAGATTTATCTTTTTATGGATAATTTTGTACTCTATAATACTAAAGACAAATATGTCAGCTCTTTAAATGAGTTACATCTGAACATCATCATAATTTTCCTACAGTGAATGAAATTAAAACTACCCAAACATTTGTACTTCCATGTTGTGTAACTACAATTTTCAGTTTACATAAGATAAAAAGTGCCTTGTTCTGTAGTCGTACAGTGTGTATTGTCATTGATATTAACACGTGATCAAGGAAGTATTAATTTACATCACAGGAGAAATATTCTTCCCAGCAGAACACAAATACTGCTGTGTTGTGGTGGTTGGTTTTGAATTCAGGCATTGTCAGTTTAATTGCGTGACTTGTAAAAATGTTCCCGTTTGATTTTATTGAAAGCATGTTATAATTGGAGAGGGACAACAAACAAGGGGTGCATTACATTTTGCTTTAGATGCATGCTTGTAAATATTGGCATGCATAAGGTTTCATTTATAATACTGATTTGTCATGAGTGTTCTGCAACAATTGTTGCACAGTGTAAATTTGTAATTTTGAACATTATTTTTTTATCACTCGGTATTTACTATTACTGATACAAAAGTGCAAGCTGTTTTGTGAGATTACAAAAGCCTGTGTAAGAAGAAATTATTTTTAAGCTCCTGTTTCGTTTCTTTATTTTTGCTACTAACAATGGTTTGTTTAGTTGGGTGTTACTCTCAACAAGAGCCATTGTTATATTTATCATTTTGTTTTGTCTGAAAAGCAAGCTGAGTAGTATTGCCTGCTGCCTACAGGAATGTTTATAGTGAGGAGAAAATCTAATATAATTATTGCATATTCCTCTATGTATATATATATATAAAAGCTACTATTTATTATGAGAATGAAAGTGTATTTATTAATATCATTTATTAGTGTGAAGATAGTTGTACAAAGTTATATCCAAGAGTGAATGTATTTCATACATTCCATGTATAGGTGCACTTACTCTCATTCATGAGACTTCCCAGCGCAAATGGCTTTTAGAAAAGAGCCATTGGCCATTGAACTATGTGCATGTACTTAATAATGAGAGAAGATCTCAGTAATACATCACAGGTTAATCTGTGTATTTACCTAATTTGCAATACTCAGAATTCTATGAGAAGTAGTTGATACTACAAAATAATGCAAGGAAAATTAATTGTAAAGCTTGGCAACTGCACTTTCAGCTACTTTTTCAACAGTTCTTTGCACAATTTTCTCTATATTAGTATGTATACCACTCATAGCCTGCCAGCTGATCCTTAATGCACTACAGACTAGAACTATTTGTCACAATTATCTCAATAACTGTTTTTTGTTTTTTGTTTTTGTTGTTGTTTTGAAGGAGAAGACATTATTAGAAAGAATACACTTCAAAGAAGGGATATTTTTTAATAATTTTTGTAATCCATTGAAGGTTTAATAATTTTGGTTTATTTTCATTTGATAATTTCACTTGGTGATGGAGAAAGGGAAAAATAGTATTTTTTCACTGTTTTTTGTGTTTTACAATAGATCAGTATTCATATACAATGATAGCCTTGCTTATTTCATTATTACATGTTGAAGAAGCTGTGCCTCTTATTAATAATTTATTATATCTGTAAGTAAATATTTCTGTCAAATTATTGAACAACAATGGATTTTTTTTTTCTTTTTTTTTTTTTCCCCTTCTGAATATCTAAAAAGATTTACCATCCTTGAGCAATTTTGTATGGATATAATCATTGGTGTTTATTTCATCAGTATGTACAAAGAAAGATTATGTTTCACTGACACAATATTAAATTTTTACAATTTGTCCGCTTATCTTGTCAGTCCTCTAAAATTGCATGCATTTATCGCATCGGTTTAGTTTTTTATTCCTTCCCCTGAATGTATTATTTCTTTTTTTTTAAATGTCCACCTTATCATTGTATTTACTGTTTTTGTGAGAGAGACAAAATGCTTTACTTGTACGTATTATCTCTGGCAGGCTTTGAATGACATGCAGTACTTCGTATTTACTTTTAGTCACATGAAACAACTGTTCTGAAAAGTAGCTGCATTGTGCTATTACTACTACATTTTTAAGGCATTGTATATTTTTCAATATGAAATGTAGTGGTTAGTCATTACTTAGGATAGTTAACTGCTTCATGCCAACTATGTGTGAAATTTGAAGATAATGATCATCGATGGATATGTGAAGAAACCAGGCAGTGGGCATGAAATGTGTATACTGCAGAGCTGAGTTTTGTTGCCAGATGGCCATGCTCAAAGGCACTGTAAGTACTTGTAGTTACTCCAGAAGAATGTGTACAGTTGAATGTTTGTGGGTGTGTGTGTGTTAAAGCTATCTCTTTCCTCTGTAACTTACATAGTTTGCTCTTTTGTTTTATTGTTTCTTTTTTTGATGTATAGTTGTTATATTATTTAAAATGTATTTAATTATGTCAATAAATTTATTTTACTTTTATTCTTTTTTATTTTTGATATTTCTCTCTAGCAGTAAAACTTAATCGTCAGAATGATACTTCAGAGTTGATTTGTTGTGTAGCCGTAAATGGTAATTTCTGGTAGATTGTGTAACAGAAGAAAGAAAGTGAAAGCAGAAAATGACAAAGGACACAAGGGATGTACTTAGTGCATTGGTGGATTACGTTACTCAGACAAGGGTTTCTTGAGCCACTCTGAGATTTGAGATTTGTGTGCACGTGGCTCTGTTACCCTGACTGGGTGCTGATCAGTTACAAATATGTTGTAATATGTTTTGGCCATAATGTTAGTAATGTGTAGTGATGTGTCCAGTGTTGCAGTGTCTGTCCTTGCACCTCTGTGGTGTAGCTCTGCCTGGAGATAGCTTTTGATGTGTAACACGCAGGCAGCAAGGCCGGTGTTGCCAACTGGCCCTCCCCCTGCCAGCCCAGACCTACCCTTCCCTCACCCTACTACGCGGTACGCCCTGGGGCTGGAAGACAGTTAGATGGTTGGAAGATTAGGTGAGCACATGGTGATACAATAGAAGAAAATTAGTGGCTTCATGGTCACATTTCAATATTCTTTGTTCCAGCGCATTGTACACCTAACCTTAAAATAAAATAAGTAGTTCAGATTGATAATACAAGTGTACATTAATATTTTCCACAAACAAGGTCGTAAACATCAAAGATTGTTGTTAAATTCTTTTTAGCTAGATAGTATGTGTAAGAGAGAGGATTCGTTGGCTGCATTTCTGCCAACAATTTTATTTTCATTCTGTAATTCCTTATAATAATTTCTAATTGTAGACAATATATGAAACAGATTTATGGTTACAATGAAAGTGTTTTCTCACTTTACAGAATTTGTTGTTCATTGTTCTCAAATGTACAGTTGTAGCAAATGTCTAGGAACAGTTGCATGATTTAGTTGTGTGAATTTTGAATAGATTTCAGTTGTTGGGGAAATTTCAAAACATTAGGTACAAACTTCCAGGGTGGTGCAAAGAATTAGCTGCAAGTCCTTGTGAATATTGAAATCTTTGTATTCGTGAATATACACACCTACTGCTGCTCTTTCAAGTACTGGAGATTGGACTGTAGCTGTATTTAGCTCGCTGATGAAATTTTATTTGTGTGGTTCATTGTACATTAGTATTGATCTTTTAATTGCTAAAATTCTCTTGGCATTGATTTTATAACCCCTAGACCTTATAAGAATAAAGCAAAAATATTAATTTGTTTGTTCAAAGAGACCATGGTGGAATAACTTCCTGGATAGATATAATTTATATTTGCCAGTAGTTTTGGGGTTAGAAACTTTGTCAAAGAGAACAAATGCAACCATTAAAACTAACTTCTCCATTATTTAGAGTAAAATACATTTTTGACTAGATACTTAAGTAATTTTCTTGATTTCATTTAAATTTTGTCTGAACCACCCAGTAGTAGTTTCTTAGTAGTTTCCTTGCGACCTATGGTACCTCTGAATGAATCAATAAGTCAACCATGCCTTGATGATTGAAGACTTCAATTTTTTGGGCGACTGCAAATGTAATGATATCCATTCGTACTGTATTTTTTTATTGCATACAATGTAATGACAAGTCACTGAGGATAAATTAAATATTTGAAATTCAAGACTACAGAGAATGAATTGACACAGAGTTTATGCTTACACAAATTTGGATGTTTCTTAATTTACATTTTGATCTTGTGTCACTGTATATTAAGGACAATAAAATCCAAGTAATCGTAACTACTGGTTTGGTGTACTTCAGTAATAAAGTTCCCTCTCGCATACTATAGAGATTTTGAAGTGATGTGTACGACCCTGATTAATTGTCACATCTATTACTAATAATATTTAGTGTGAGGATGTCGATTGTATTCTCAAAATGGGCTATTTATTTAATTGTTAAGGTAAAAGAGTATTGAAGTGCGACCATGAATTCACAAATTGCTTTCTATTGGTTCATTGTGCATTGTGACTTGTAGGCTGACAGGCGGCAGGCGAGCAGGACTGTAGTGAGCAACAGCTCCTGCTCTTGCTGGCTGTGCCCCCTCCGTGCTGGTGCTGGCAGGCAGGCCTGACTTCTACTGTGCATCCCGAAGCATGCCTCTCTCTGTCTTTCTCTCTCTGTGTGTTTCTATGTCTGTCTGTTTGCCCGTCTCCATACCCATGTATGATGGATGTTGTGTACCTAAAACTCTGTTTTCCTTCTGTGCTTCGCACTAACATGTGGTGGGTGCGGGTCTCTTGCAGAAGAAGATAATGATCATCATTTGCCTGGCCATCCTGGGAGTCATCCTTGCTGCCACTATTGGCAGTTACTTTGGCTTCTGAAGAGCTTAATGTAAGTTTCTGCTTTGTTCCCCTAATTGTTGATGAATTGCTGATTAATTGCACATAATAATTTGCCCTCTTCATCCCAAGCATTCAAGGCCAAATCTTTGCTTTGATTCTTGGTGGGGGAGAACAAGTTATAGCTTAATTATTGAATAGCTTGATTCTATTTGGAGTAGGACAGGAGATTCTTTGAACTTGCTGGATTTTTCTTGTCCCATTATTTTTAATCAGAAAGTGTAAGTAAACAGGTCATAATTGTTCATTGATTATCAGCATAATATCTCATACAAAATTAAAAGTGAAAGACCTAAAAATTAAATGAATTTAACTGGTCTCAACAGTGCAATTTTGCTTAGTTCTCAACTGGCTGTTGGCTGTGATCCTGCTGGATTTAGAATCATTGGCATCTTCATACTAGAACTACTGTTTATGCTATGATGCATTACCAACCCAGGACATTTCTTGTCTGTGAAATAGCAGAGCTGATGGCTGAAGCAAATTTAATTAAAAGATATCTGAACAGGATTTACATGTGGGTGTAGAGGTTTTTTATTAAACACCACCAGCCTTCAACTCTGGCTCTTATTTTTTAATTGGGTGATTCTGTACCATATTAGCAAAAATTATTAACAAGGAATTGGCTAATTAAGCGGGAAATGGTGAAACACCTTATGTAAATCACAGAATATTGATCTATAATTTTGTGTTTGAATGAATTTGATATGCAAATTTCACAAAGTTATGGGTAATGTGAAAGAAAAAATATTTAATGGACAATAACTATTTAATTTGTTTAATCTGTTTGCTTGTTAATTACAAAGTCGTCAGATTTAGAATTTTCAGCAAATATTGGACCTCGTACTACGGTATCATGATTGTGCTAAGACAAAAGAAATTGAGTTTTTGTATTTGAACTAGTAGACTCGGCATTGCTTCGCTATTGCAATGCTGTATTACACTTCACACTCCACGGGTCTTGTGATTGTTAATCTCCTTTCACTCAACGTTCTGCCAAAAAATTAATGGATATAAGAATTTTTTCCGGGCGAGTTTTGTGTGCTGGTTGGCCATGATTCTCAAGAATCCAATTGTTAAAATGTTCTCCCTCAAGTTTGGGCATGCATTCTCTATGACACTGTCTTGGAGAGATTTTATTTATTTGTCCGAACGTTCACGTAATAATTCTGGCCGGTATTTCACAATTGCAGGGGCAGAAAACGTGCTTAATACTTGGGTGTACGGCGGGTGGCGTAGAGCATATGCTCAGGGGCGCTTGAGTCATAAACGCACATATTAACAACGCCCCCTTTTGTGTCTATGTGATACAGACATATAGGAGCGTAGGGCGAGTCCGATTGGCATAATTACAGTGTTCTAGAAGTGAAATCGGCACTTGTGCAGTATAAATTGGAAGGTGCTTTGACTGATGTTCATTGAGGAGAGTTTGGTCGCTGAGCAAATGCTGCTCCGTCAATGAGGTGACCTGTAATTTGAACTTATTTTATGTAATTTTCCAAGATATTGGAAATATGTTTATACTGTTAATAGCACAGTAATTAAAATCTCCATGAAGATTATGGATGTGTGAAATACGAACTACCCAACGCACTAGTTTCATACATGCCTGACAAAAGACAGCAAAAATTAAGATATTATTTTGATGCTTGGCGCAACGGTCCGCATTCATGTCGGGGCAAGAGCCCTGGTGTGGACTTCTGGTCCACTTACAGAGAATTATAGCGAATGTTGAAATGTATACTTTCCACTTCTTGTTATTAATTACTGAGACTGCAAAAGTAAGACTTCTAGAAAAATATATCTTTAGACATGCTTTCTGAAGCACAATAGCAAATCGTCAATGGTGTGTCGAAAAGAAAAGTTGTTGAGCATTTCAGCGTTGACGAATCTACTCTTCGCAAAAAACTTAAGAAAGGCACTTAGATTTACAAATATTTTATCAGAGACACAATCAGAACTTGCCAAACATTACAAGTTGTTAAGCGACATGTTTTTAGCTTGGCGCTGACGTCATTGTGCATATTTGTATATAAATATGTTTAATTAAATAACATATCTCACCCAATAACGAAATGCAAATGAGTTTATTGGGCTCGTAACTTTTTGTTGAGAAACAAGCTCTCTTTAAGAAGTCCACTAAGAATTCAATGAAATTAAGTTCCGATATTGTTCCGTAATTTAATTGAAATGCTGGTGAAACTGGGATTCCTACTGTTCCCAATAGAGATTCGAACGTAGTAGCGAGTCCAGGGAAGAGAGCTGTTTCTGAGAAGGAGCTTGTGCAGAGAGAGGTCCGTTGGTAACGGCAGTTCGCTGCATGTATGTTGGCTGGCTGGCAATTACATCCCACCAGTATAAATCTTTCCAAGAAAACAAGAGCAAAAAGAATTAGTCAATGGGAAACCACTAGATTCAGTGAGGTTCATATCTGACTCGGGTTATATACATTATGAAATGTTTATTAAGAGATTGCGCCGTTTTCAGAAGTACAATAGAGCAAGCAAAAAGGACAATGCCGAGTTAATTTTGGTTAACCATTCTTTGCACATTACACTAGAGGCAATTATCTTTTGTAGAGATTAGGACATTCATTTACTCAGTTTTCCGCCACATAGCAGCCCCAAAATGCAA